CTGAAATCTGACTTCTTAGGGGCATCAGTGAAATCCAGAAGAGAGTTGAGTAATATCTTCAATATGCTGAGAAAAAAGCTGTCAGAGAGAAAAAAAATAGGTCATATTCAAATAATCGGAAGACAATGTCTTCAGACTTTTCAGCAAAGCACTGGGGAACAAGAAAACAATGAAGTAATGCCTCCAAATTTGGGGAGGGGATGATTTTCCAACCTAGAATTCTACACCAAAACTGCCTATTGTGAGATTAGACTGAAGACACGAAAGAACTGAAATCCTTTACCTTGCCTGCATTCTATCTCTGGAAGCTACTAGAGAAGGAGCACCACCAAAATCAGAGAGGAACCTAAGAATGAGGTAGAGATGGGATCTATAAAACAGGTCAAAAGGAAGCAAATAGAATCTCCAGGATGATGGAATGAGGAAGAGGTGCCCAGGCTGGCAGCTGGAGGGCAGGTCAAATGGCTCCAGGAAAGCGGCTCCTGGGTGGCTCAGTCAGTTAAGTGTCTGACTCTTGGTTTCAGCTCAGGTCATGATCTCAGGATCCTGGGATCAAGCCCCGCGTCTGGCTCGGCACTCAGCATGGAATCTGCTGTCCTTATCCCTCTGCTGCGCCCCCCCCTCATAAATAAATAAAATCTTTTTTTTTAAGATTTTATTTATTTATTTGACAGAGACAGAGACAGCAAGAGCAGGAACACAAGCAGCGGGAGTGGGAGAGGGAGAGCAGGCCTCCTGCTGAGGAGGGAGCCCGATGTGGGACTCGATCCCAGGACCCTGGGATCATGACCTGAGCCGAAGGCAGACGCTTAACAACTGAGCCACCCAGGCGCCCTAAATAAAATCTTTTTTAAAAAAGGCTCCAGGAGAGAGCACGCCAAGGAAATGAAGTGCATGGAATGCTGGGCATCTTTGGCCAGCTGGAGAGAAGATATAGAGAGCTAGGGAAGTGCTGGTCAATGAAAAGTAGTAAAGACCAAGAAATGTGGGAGTGGGGGGGGACAAGCGTTAAGTCTAAGGTAAACAAAACATTGGGAGAGAAAAAAAAGTCATCAGAGTGATGGCTCAATTATAACCAGTGTTTCCATGGACTTGATAATGTAAACACCAATGATCTAACCCAGATTACTATATACCGTATTAGAAGAATTTGGAGGGGCTGTGTGAGAGAGAGCTACATTATCATCTTCTATAGTGAAAAAAACCAATCAATAATTCCTAAAATATAAAAATAAAAAATAGCACTATAAACAATTTATTTAGGGGCACCTGGGTGGCTCAGTCGGTTAAGTGTCTGCCTTCAGCTGAGGTCATGATCCTCCTGGGATCAAGTCCCTCATTGGGCTCCTTACTCAGCGAGGAGCCTGCTTTTCCCTCTCCCTCTGCCTGCCGTTCCCCCTAGTGGTGCGCTCTCTCTCTCTCTCTCTCTCTGTCAAATAGATAAATAAATCTTTTTAAAAAAGGAAGTAGGGGACACCTGGCTGGCTCAGTCCATACAGCATGCAACTCTTGATCTCTCAGGGTTATAAGTTTAATCCACACACTGGGTGTAGAAATTGCTTAAAAATAAAATCTTTAAAAAAATAAAATATAAAGGAAGTAGGAAATAGAGAAGATTAAAATTTGTTAAAGACTGGCTCTATTGTGGAATTTAGATATAGATATAGGTATCATTAAAAACTCAAAATTGAGAGAATATGTTGGTGGAAAATTAAAGGTAACCACTAGAAAAAAAGCCAGGTACATAATATCCAAATAACCAAGAAGAGAAAAACAATTGAACTCTATTATTCCAAAAAAAAAAAGTAAGGAAAGGAGGCACAGAAAGAAACAAGATATTAGGGTAAATAGAAAATATAAAGTAGGATGCCAATAAGACGTGATTATGAATGATTCTATACCATGCTCTTAAAGAGAACACTTAATACCATAAATATGTCAGCCATCTACACATAAACCTATAAAGTCAATGAAATCCCAATTAAAAACCCAATGGAAGTGTCTTATGAACCTCAAATTAGCTGCTTCCATAATTAATTTGGAAGAGAAAATGCAAAAGAATAGCAAAGAAATTTTTGAAAAAGAATAATAAATATAGTGTTGGGACAATTGGCTATTTTTTTAAAAATTAAGTTACTTAAACACCTGTATATGATGTAAGTGCTACCTTATGTAAATAAAGAACTAAACATAAAAATGAAACAATAAAAGCATTAATAAAAATGAAACAATAAAAGCATTAAAAAGACATAATAGTGTTCTTACAATCTTTTTGTGAAGAGGACTTTTCTAAACAAGACTGAACCCAAAATTCCATAAAGAAAAAGATTTACGGGTGCCTGGGTGGCTCAGGCCTTAAGCAGCTGTCTTTGGCT